TCTCTTGAATGGTACCAACTATATTTACTGGCAACGTTATTTCTCCCTTAGTAGTTTTGTAAGCCATATTGAATCCATTTAGTACTCGGGCAGCAGGCATGATCCGATCCTGCAGACCGAGTTGTTCTACGACCCTTGATCGAATAATATTAGCCGAGGTACCTGGATCAATTAGCACATGTTTAACTCGAGTTTTATTCATGAGTACATATATTACCAGTGCATCATTATGGGGCTTGGTGATTCCTTCCACATCCTCGTCATTGAAAAACAAAGTCCCTTCTGGCACGTAATATCGCGTTCATTTTTCCCTCGTGATTGACACTTTGATGCGTTTAAACATTGGACCTTGAGGAACATCGACTCCTTCGATGATCATATGGATGACATTTTGGTGCTCGTCTTGTTCACTTTATTTGTTGGAGTCCTTGTTTTTGAAGTGATTCTTAGCTCGATCGCTTAAGAACTCCCGAAGATGCCTGTTGTTGAATAATCGGGCTACTTCTTCTCTTAATTGCCGACAATCTTCCGTTCTGTGGCCATGGGTGCCATGATATTTGCACCTTTGGTTGGGATCTTTTCGGGCCGGATCGGCCTGCAGAGGTCGACGCCATCTGGTATCCTTGATGCGTCCGATAGCTGATACGATATTTGCTGCGTCGACACTAAAGTTATATTCAGATAATTGAGGTGTTTCATTAGGTCTGATAGGCTTGTCGAAGCCGCTCTTACTCATAAGCCCTCAAGAGCTCTAACCTTGATCACTTCTTATTTCATTCCGTATAGGTTTTTGCCTAGCTCCGTTATTCCTACGATCTGTACTATATGGCTAGTATCGATCTCTGTTCGATCTTGGTTCTCGATCAATATCCCTTTTAACTCGGTCGACGGGTCTGATAGGATAAACGGACCCAGAAGGGGCCCCAAGTTGATAGTCCTCGACCCTGATCTTTGAGTGATAACGATTATGCACATCGGCCTAAGCGACAGCTGGGTATTCTATCAAATTTTGCTTCAACTGTTGTGAAGCCATTGAACTTCGAACGTTGAGACCTTGAGTTAAGGCTTGAACGGCCCAATCGTTGGCGACCGGTGGAAAGTCCATCCGTTCCATTTGGAATCAAGGCACGAACTCTCTGAGCATATCATTGTCCTTTTGCCTTACCTTGAAAAGGTCTGACTTTATAGTTTCGACCTTGATGATGCATGCGCCTTTACAAAAGAATCTGCAAGCATATCAAACAATTCAATAGAATTCGGTGGTAAATTATGGTACCATATCATAACACCTTTCGATAGGGCCTCTCCGAATTTCTTTAGCAGGACAGATTCAATTTCGTCATCCTTTAGGTCATTTCCTTTGATAGAGCACGTATAAGAAGTGACATGCTCGTTCGGATCGGTCGTCCCATTATACTTAGGAATCTCGGGCATGCAGAACTTTTTGGGGATTGGCTCCGGAGCCGCACTCAGTGGAAAAGTTTTTTGTACGATTTTTTAGGAATCCAGTCCCTTCAATATTGGTGGTGCTCCTGGGATTTGATCGACCTTGGAGTTATAAGTTTCCACTTTCTTGTCATTTTCCTCGATCTTCTTTTCCCCTGACTTTGTTCTCTTTATCAGTTTCGAGCATCTTTATGATAGCAGGATTGGTCTCCGATTCCTTCTCGCTCGATCTCCTTGAAACTAATTCGACCCTGTGACAACTTCATAGGAAGGCTCGAGCTCGACCCTGCTCGGGGTGTGATTCTGATTTTGGAGCTGCTCTATCGCTGCCTATTGGGCCTGCAATATTTCGAAGATCACTTGTAGGTTGACCTTGCAATCCTCGCCGCCGTGTGCGTTTTGAGTGGCTGATCGGTTGTCCCCGCGGACGCTTCCCTCAGGGTCGACTGCCAAATTAGTGTTGAGGCCTATATTCTAGCTGACATCGATTGGATCTACAACTGGAACTCCATCGAGGCCAACCGGGGGTACGTCGTTTCGTGGTGCTATCACTGCCTGATGGCCAGAACCGTTGCTGACGTTAAGGAGTGCTGAGTGAGAGTTCGACATTCTGATCTTGGAATCAAAGATACTTCAAAGAACAAGTGAAAAATAGTGTGTGTTATGAAAGTTCATACCGAGTAACCACTATTATCCTTATCCCCACAGTGGGTGCCAAACTGTTCACCCTAAAATCGGATAACAATTAAATTTATATGTGGTTTTAAGGATACGTGGTATAACTTAGCACAAATTAAGAAGATAGATAATAATATCGAAATTGACTGTAAAAGAAATAAATACAAACCAAACGAATTGAACAACCTTGGCCCTCGAGTTCGATCAACCTTGAACTGAGTGAAGTTTCAGTTGATATAAGAGCAGAGTTACAAGATAATGAAAACTAGAGAAAAGCAGTATATTTCTTTGTATTGCATGAATATGATCCCCTTTACAAATGACCAGACCCTCTCTATATAGTAGGGGAGTCCTACTCTTGATGCAATTCTAAATACAGTAATAAATCCCATGATAGATAATTAACTGGTCTCTTCTTGATACGTGCCGAGATTTCCGCAGTGATCCTCGCCCGATTGCGGATATTTTGGCTTTCCGTTATTTGGCTTGGTAAGCTTCCCTCCATCTTGCTTGACCTCTATCCTGCTCGGTCTCGATCTTGGATGTTCTCGATATCGATCGGACTCTGAGTCACGAGCCCGACAATCTAACTTCGCATCATGGTCTGCTATAACATGAGGTCGAGCTTTGGCCTGCCACGTTCCAGTCTCGATTAGTCATACAAAAAAGGCAAATCCTATTTTGATCGTATACAGTATGATAATTCACATTTTGGTCTCTTCAAAGGCAGAATCAAATTGCAACATTATCGACCTTTGGTATTTTTGAGAATAATTAATAGCGGGGTAAAATTGAAAAGTATGACTAATTATTTATTTATCTTTGTAAAACGAAAAGTATTTTGAAATATCTATTTATGAAAAATATGATAATTAAATAAGAACAGAGGAAATATTTATTAGTTGGGTTGATGAACCCTAAAATGCATAATTGGTGGTCTCGAATTTAAATGTCGGTTCCGTAGTGTTAAACACAAATAATAACTTAATTATAGTACTTGTATAATATTTGTAAGGCCAACGAATATGTAAGGCCAACGATGAATCCATATATCACATTTTCTGGGAATGCCCCATAGCTAAGGCTTTATGGCAAAATCTAGGGGTGCCCATAAATAATTACGGAACCATCAATGAATGGCTGGAATCTTTACAAAAAAACATCTCCAAAAATTTCAATGGGTTACGTAGCTTGGAAAAAGGTTCTACCTTTCTCTCTTTGGGGCATTTGGAATAATAGAAACCATAATAATATCAACAACCAAACCTCTCACATAAATGTAAAAAAAAAAATTTAACCACGCAACTGAATACTCTTTACTAACAACCAAGAAGATTTTTCATAACAAGGTCATAAAGTTAAATGTCAAATGGGAGCGACCACTAAAGGGATGGCTCAAGGTCAACATAGATGGAGCATTCAATAGCAACAATCTGGAAGGGGGCATCAGTGGAGTAGTTCGTGATTCCAAGGGGAGGTGGAAGACATGTTTTTTAAAGAAAATCCGAGCAACCTCACCGTTACAAACGAAACTGCAAGCTCTTTTGCATGCACTACAATTAATTATCAAGGAAAATATATTCCCAGTAGACATGGAAACTGACGCCACAGAGGTCATTAACATTATTAATAAAGATCACCCTACTAACAATGTTTTAATTCACAAATACAGATTGTTGGTGGAGGAGGCATCCAGGCAGGGGCCAATATCATTCAGGCATAGACATCAGACACCGAATATATCTCCAGCTAAGACATATACTACTCTTATCTGTTACCTGCTCTCTGCATGAGGCTAATTCTTGCCTCCATATTTGCATGAGGCTAATCCTTGCCTCCATATTTGCATGAGGTTAATCCTTGCCTTCGTATTTGCATGAGGCTAATCCTTGCCTCCATATTTGCATGAGGCTAATCCTTGCCTCCGTATTTGCATGAGACTAATCCCTGCCTCCATATTTGCATGAGGCTAATCCTTGTCTCCGTATTTGCATGAGGCTAATCCCTGACTCCACATGTGCATGAGGCTAATCCTTGTCTCCCTATCTACAAGAGGCTAATCCCTGCCTCCCTATTTGCATGAGACTAATCCCTACCTTCACATCTGCATGAGCCTAATCCCTACCTTTCTGGGAAGGAAATATGGTGGCTCATGTTTTGGCAAAAGCAACGTTAATGAACTTTTGTTTTACCACCTGAACTTGCTCTAGATGTATATGGCAAGGATCAGGATGGGTATGTTTATGCTAGGAACTGTTCTAGTGAACAATGTGAACGTTTGGTTGCTTTAGGGAATGATAGTGCCTTGCAAGGCATATTGGTAGGTTATCAAGGAATATGTACTAATGACAATATTAATGGGCTCTCTGTCACGTCTTTAGTCTTAAACTAAGCGCACGTGCGACACTTGGCAACTCGCTCACGATCTTGCACAACTTGCTCACGTTCTTGCTATGCCAAGTCAGCCTTACTACACTCAAGATCGCTAAGAGGATGGAAGAAAGAACACAAGAGAATTGTTAAATGAAGTTTTGTATTAGAAAGAACTTGAATTGTTTGTTTGGTTAATGTAGCGGGTCATGACATCCAGCCCTATTTTGTTATATATATAATATAAGTATGCTTTTCCAGTTCAAAATAAATAAATTTGTAAGATGGGCTTGGTGGGTCCCATGTAAAACCCAAGCAAAACGTCAGCGAAACTAACATTTTAAATTTATAAAAGTACTCTCAATTGGTTATATTTACAGAACTACCCAAAAACATTCACAGGTATAAAATGCAAAATGAGGGGCAAAAGGTGAATTGTAGGATGACGAATGTCGTTTATTAATACTTAATAGTTGTTATAAATACCTATTTGTTGTAGACAGAAATTAAAAAAGAAGACCCTTCTGTGTAGAATTAGGGTTTTCTTGAAGTTTGGAATGGAGACTCGTGTGGTTAACGGGTATCGGCTTGATCGCAAAATTGGCAGTGGATCGTTCAGCGAGATCTATCATGGTGATTTTCTTTCTTTCTCCCCGGAGAAATTCTCTCAATTTATTAGTGTTCCTTGTTGTGGCGTGGAGGAGTTGATGTTATCTTGGTGGTGTAGGTACTAATATACGGACTAATGAGA